GTTCATACAAAATAATGTACTAAATGGTGTCTAACACTATCCTGAATTTTGTACGCAATTTAGCGTACCAAATTTCACACAAAATTTCGTATCGTGAGAGACGGCCTTAGCGCGCAAATTATCACTACACTTATGTCAAATAGGACTAAGGATTTACTTAAGATTTTTATAATCTTTACTATGAGACGTTTATATTGGAGCGTATCGAGCCTAAAATCCTCTACTTTTAATCCGGATTTGTGACATTTGCTTTGGTGTAAAGTTGCCCACAAAAATGTGAAACTAGACTAAGATGTTTATATGGATAAAAAAAATAAACACATATCCAAATCTTAATCCACTTTCACTTATTTGAAGGATTGGTTCATCCCATTGATCATCGTGCTTGAATCCTCATTATGAGCGTAGTGAATCATCATCATGCAAAAAGTGGCGCCAAATAGGTTGACTTGTAATGCACCGCCGTTCATAAAGTTTATGTTCAACACAAATTAGACCCTATTAGAAAAAAGTTACTTACGAACATGTATATAACAGAGAAACAAAGACAAACAGGTATATATACAATTAGTCTACAGGGTGCTATAGGAGCACTTTTTGAAATTTTGTTTTTGCACAAGTTTTATGATGGGTTGAAGTGCGCACCTTTTCTGTTCAACTTCGCGATGTTTTTTAAAAAGAACCTAGTGAAAAAAATGAAAAAGTGGCTCTATAGCACCGTGTGGGGTTTTGTTTTCAGCACTCTGTGAAAATTTCATCCAAAAATAACTAAAAATAATGCGTCAACTTCGCGCAAACCTCTACAAATCGTATTTTGGACGAATTTTGTCTACTGTTTCGTGCTGCCAACCCAAGCGTTGCGGCGCAATGTACGGACTAAGAAAGGACGTATTCAGATAATTTGGTGGCCCTATTTCATATAATATCGCGTAGATAAGTCGTTCTGCAAATAGGTACTCATAATCGCGATCGCTGATACTCCTCGATTTTAAAGCCGTTTTACTTCCCACTTCATTGGCGAGGAAGTACTGTAATCGCGAAAAATTTCTAAAATGAGATGTTATGTCTTTTTAAGTCATATGAAAAATTGTATCACTCATCAATTTGGAAATGACAGCTCGGATTTTTATGAAATTTCCACACGGGGTTACTAGTATGCCAAAGCTTTGTAGTTTTAGTCCAGTGTCAAAGGTGCTATAGGCAAAAAAGATAAAGTAACAATTGCTGAAATTGACGTTACAGGGGTTCCATATCATTGACACAAAAAAATTGTACTGCTTAAAAAGTGTGGGTTAGGGGAAGGTGATTCTAAATGTTGCATCTTTGATATCAGTGAAACACGTTCTATTTTCAAGAAGCTTCTGATCCCTGTGATTACAGGAAATTTAAGTAACGAAAATCCGACGAATAATGTGCTCACGATTTGAAAAAATCGGTACCTGCTCTATAAGTTTGACACCAAGAGCCGACAGTAGGCAAGAATGAATTCGGATATCACTCCAGTCAAGTATAGGGGAATTTAGCGTGGAACTTTAAAATTATCGATATGTCAAGGAAATATGTTTTTGAGAACGATAATTTGGTAGATTTTATACATGCATTTTCATTTGAATTTCATGACCCGTGAAATGTACCCATTTCGCCGTTACCTTCAACTTGTGTCCTGCAGTTTGTGATGTTTTTCTGGATATAAGCAGGACATAATTGCCTAAGGTGCTATGAGAGGTTTTTACAAAATTTTGTATTTGCGCAAGAATTATGGTGGGTTGAAATGCTTACTATTTGTGCTCAACTTCTTGATATTTTAAAAAGATCCTGGTAGATGAAATCGAAAAAGTGGATCGTTAGCACCCCGTGGACTTTGTTTTTAGCACGCTGCAAGAGTTTCATTTGGAAATAATAAAAAATTAAACGTAAGCTGTGAAGTGCAAATCAGTTTTCGGGCGAAATTCGTCTACTGTTTCGTCCTGCCAGTCCAAGCGACGCGACGGTGCGTTCCGACTAAGAAAAAATGTATTCAAATAATTTGATATATTTCCTAAAATAAATTCAAGAACTCAAATTAAAATTCGTTTATTCATGTCAGTAAACACAATTATGTTTGTCATGTGGTACATGGCAACAATTGAATGAGGGTCATAAAAATATCTTATGCCGTCAAAATAAGAGGAAACAATTAGGTAGTTTTTGCAAAGCAATAAACAGGTAGCCTTATACTAGGATTAAGTACATTTCTTGTCTACTATAATCGGTAGATGGAGGCGATGCTGCCAGAAATGGATGTGTGCGATCAATAAACAAACCACAAGACTGAACTGCGGTGTCCAATGATTTTTGTATTGCCTTTTTTATTGCCTTACTAGAAAACTCTGTTGGGTATATGATGGAGTTTACTAGAACTATACAGCTTGTTGTCTGCCTTCTTCTACAAACTTCACCAAATCGAGATGCTGTCAACCTTATCCTCCGATGAAGGCGCGACAAAGTACAGTCCTGTGATTTGGTGACTTGTTCGATCTGCAAAATCTCGTCGTCATTTTTTTTAAGTTTCCCTAAAAATTTTCACTTAGCAACCTCCAAATCAATGTAGTTAATGTCAGGTTTTTTATTGAATTCGCCATAAAACTATTCATTTTCTTTGGAATTGCTATCCGAATTGTTAGTTATTTTTATATCAGCTCTTTTTGGTCTGAGTTTCTTTTCAAGATTCTTGCGTTTGAGTCTTTGTTCCATCTTAGCGATAAGCGAGGTTGGACTAAGCTTAGAACGCAAATGTATTTAGACCACATATACAGGCCGCTGGGTATTGTGACTCACTACAGCTGCAGCACATTTTTAATGGTATGACTGACCTCTTCTTGCAATAATTTATTCGCTTACCCCAATGTATTTTGGATTATAAAGTTGACCTGCGCCACACTATTGTTGACCTCATCATGAATTAAACTCACTGCATTCGTAATTAAAATGGTCGCATATGACCCTTTATTGTCCATTATCAGCCTTGATAAAGAAAGGCACTCAAGAACAATCTCTCCAACAACAATTCAACAACACAATATCGACGAACAGTAACAAGGGGAGAAAAATACTAAATGATCACGTGCTTCTAGATCGCTAATCGAAATCCGACTCTGTTATTATTAAAATTTACCTTGATATGCACCCGCAGTCATCCTTTCCTCTTTTAAAGTAGCGCCGACGACCGTCAAGGGCCAGCCTACCCTCGTTTCCTTTTCACCCCCCCGTTACCTCAGCAGATGGTGCTCGTGATTGTAGGAGCCCCGTTAAGGTACTTTTAATTTATTTTTCGTTTTTGGCCTTTATACACGGGCTAATGATAGCGGGCAGGCATACCGACAGATAGATCGAAGAAAATGAGTGGCATGGGTTTTCGTGATGTACATGTCATATAACATTCAAAAAACCTATATCATTTTTGAAAATTTTCGCGATTAATACATCCTCACCAGTAGGCGTGGGAAGTAAAAACGTGACTGTCAATAGTTCGAGTTCAATGATAGAAACATCACAGGTATCAAGTATCCATTGCAAATGACGAAAGACACCATCTACTCTTACCAATTGTTACGGTTAACTGTGAAAAATTGAAAAACTGCATATAGAAAGAAGATTAATAACCTTAGTTAGTAATTGTGTTTTGAAAAAAGCAGAATGCTCAAGTCAGCCTAGAAATGCGTATACAGTAGACGTACTTGGAAGGTCGATGAAAAGGAACACTGTTGTCAAGTTGTTATAAAATCGACTACAATGTTGAGACATTGATTTTTTCATTGTTTAGATAGAAAACCTTAGCACTATAGTGGATTCAAGCACGATACAAGAGGATCCTTGATTGTCAAGCTTTTCAAGCTAAATCCTTCATACATATGTAACTGTAACGCATTTAGCTACGACTTTTACTACTTCCCATACAAATAAAAATATGTTTTCTATTCCCAACATTCCAAAACTTCATGTTAAGAATGTTCAACTCCCTGGTCATATGGTGTAGTCCAACAAAATTTTGGGTAGATGCAATTCAAATTGTAGATATTACTAATGACGCCCAAATTATACATAAAAGATTAATAAGATTCATATTAATACACGGTATGATAATAGACACTGCACAACTTGGGCAAGTGTGAAGTTCGGCAACAAAACTCCGAATGTGGCATCGTCCAAAAGCAGCGTTCCACTGTCAAAGATGGCATTTTCGTGAATGAACGAAAACCCGTACTTTAGTTCTCAGCTTGATGTTCTATTTAAAAATGGTATCAATAATTGTCATGTTCAAAATATTTTGATGATTATCCTATAAGTCAAAGTGGCAACAGTGCAATTGTTCGTCTCTCCATTGCGTCTTGACTGCGACCAACGACCGAGTTTGCTCGTCCTTGACCAAGGAGAGGAGCACGAGGGACGTCCTACCAACAATTTCGCACGCGAAGAACATAATCATACCCACAGCACGCCATGGAAATAATTTTAATGTGCTTTTTTCGTGGCAATGCTTTGACTTGTCTAACATTGTAACATTGTTACCTAGAGAGCTGACCTTGATTGCTAATAGTTATTTTCTGGTTCAAAATTCAGTACTGTAACGGAACTGCGCAAGGCTGAATGCGTAAAGGCGAAGATCTCGGAAGCGGTTAGGAACAGTCCGTGAACTATCAGAATTTTGCCAAAACCCGAACAGCCTGAACCCAGGACAGAAAATTATTTGTCATTTGCCAGTAACTATAACCACACTTCTTTCTTATGAAGTTTTCACAAAATTTAAAGTGTTAGAAAGAAATTACAAAAAGGTTATTGAAAACAACAACAAAATAGTCAGGGTCAGGAAGTTGTTTGAATATGTGCAAGAAATGGATGAGATCTTTGAGAAAAAGAAGAATATAAATACAATCATATTGCATTCCAGTTCGTCCACAATAGAAAAGGCACCTAAAATCCAAACAGAAAGCTTGCACATCTTATCGAATTATCTATTCCAGAAATTATTGATACTCAACCTTCTTGTTCGTACAATACTCTAACCAAAGATAATCCCCTCAGAGAAACAGCAAGTACATACGGAGGAATGCCCTGTGCTGCCTCTAAGACATCTTTAAAAAGGAAAAGACATAGCCCTGTGTATGTCAAAAGAAACGATATACTTTTAGAAATAAAAAAATTATTGAAAGTATTTTATGAAAAAAAGGACCAGAGAGCACAAGAGAAGTTAGAGATTGAGAGAAGAAAACTGGCTGATGGGGATGATATTTTTAAACAAAATGATTTTTCCAAAGATCCTTCCCAATAAAAAAAATGTTAGTTTTCAGTATGCTAATTTTATGTTATTTATGACAAAGTGGAATTTTTGTTTTGTTTATGAAAAAGTAGTTCAGTTTTCTGTTTATAATTTGTTCCTTATTTTGGACTAAATTTTATTTATACATACTCTACAGCACACATAGTGATTTAAATCAAAGTGTTTGTCCATTACAATAGGTTATCAGTTCCTTAGTTTTTACTGTTATTTTTCACGAAGTCTATGTTAATATATACCAAAGTGTTCCATGTTTTAGAGTGATATTTATGTGTGTATATATTGGAAATGAGCTTCTCATTATCAGAATTACAAAGGATAGAAGATACTTAATATAAACTGGTAATAAAACTTCAAAAATATTCCCCAATTTTTGTGGGGAAAGTGATATTTCCATATTCTGTGATATGATAAGCAGTTTTCAGATTTGTAAGAAAAAAATATATTTTCTATTTGTAACACTCTGTATCCATATTTGTGATTATACGCTAAGCAGTTTCTGGATTTTTAGGAAATTATATTTTATATGGGTATTATATTTTTTTTTATACACTGTATCTCAGCTCAAACTTAAAGTGGCTTTCTTGTCACAAGTACATTAAAGTTCTTATTAACAAAGCAATAACCAAACAATTCTGGACCCATGTTTATTAGAACTTCTTCTATGTGTGGATGACCAAGCGCCTGCCAAGCATCCTGTATAACAGTATTATTAATTTTACTGGATTAAAATTGTTAATAAAATTGTTTTATTTATTGAAAAAGTCCTAGTAAAACAAATTCCCGCTGCAAACAGTGTGAGTGCTAGTACGAAGGAAAAAATGACACATTTATCCATGTATTTGCAAATAAATTTATTATGAAAATAATTATACACATATTTACTACATCACTATCACTTTAAAAGCTACATACTATATATCTAATAATAAAGCCACATAATTCCTGTAGTTTTGACCAACCTCATTGTGTTCATCATCTTGTACATGTTCATTAAACGGATTTTCATTTCCCTCATCACCTACATCTACTGCCTCATCACGTACAAAATTGTTATCGATGCAGAGGTTATGTAGCACACATCATGCCCTAATAAAATGGCATATAAATTTAATATCTCTTGATTTGATATGATACAGTAAACCTCTATTTTATGAGACCTATAGTGTGCTCAATTAACACTCTACCATGACTCAAATTATTAAAACTCTTTTGCATCTGCGACAAACTACCTGTATCCTTATAATAACTTAATAAATTCCTTAAACAAGGATAGGCGCTGTCTCCCAGACTTACCCAGTCCTTACACAACTGTCCTAAATTTTGGCACAGTGGACTATTCCGGAACAGTCTTGCATCATGGACACTACCTGGGTAACCAATAAACACATCCCTTATTTTTCTATTGTCATCACTGATAACTTGTACCTATAGCATCGAGTAGTGCTCACACGTTTGGGGTGTTGTCGCCCCGACTATCGATGACTCTCCTCTAACAGACAGTCTCGAGACCCTTTCGCATCGGTAGGCTGTCAGCGATCTAGCTCTCTCCTACCGCTACACCAACGGGATTTGCTCCTCACAACTGTCCTCCATGATCCCGTCGCGTGGTGTGCCTGCCAAATAGATCCGCCTGACTTCCGCCTTCCGGCCTAACAGTGTCGAACTTCGTACTCGCCTATACGACCACTCGTTTGTCCCTAGGGTGTCAAGATTGGGGAACAATCTACAAGAGGAGGCTGTTCCCAGATCTACTAAGCTTAGGCAGTTCAAAAATTGGAATAACAAAGTTTCCTTGGGATCCTCAAAGCAGCTGCAGTGCCCTGGCATTAAGGCTTCTCTGCCTGCGCGCCTGCTTCGATGTAAATAAAATACCGATAATTCATCGTATTCCTTCCAGGACATGATAGGAGACTCGAAATGTAACAAATTTCAGTTATAGATGAAAATATTTTCGGGAGTTCAATTTTGGTTAGCTATGTGAGATATGGATTAGACTAGACTGCGATTAATTCTCGCAACTTGTACTGATATCCATTAGATGCTTTTACTTCCTACGCGAGCGGGCGAAGGAGAATTGTAATCGAGATTTTATTTTTATTACTCTACTTTTGATTAAAACTTTTCATTTCAAAATTACTTCTTTTAGTGAATCAACATCATTCGTCATTTCAACGTCTAGGTATTTCGTCTAGTATCTGCATTCCTTAATGTTTAGTCTCTTTCTTCTTTCTTCTCTTTCTCTTTGGCTTTGTCTGGTTTCTGGGCGTCCTGGCTGACAGATTGGAAACTGACCGAAATAATTTGATACAAAGGCATATGTTCTAGGGAGGTTGTCTACTTCATATATACATAGTAAAATTTTGTTTAGTAGGTAGTTTTCGAGATTTCCAGCATCAATTTTTGTTAAAACCTTTTCGGACCAGATATATTTTAGAACACTGAAAGTTAAACATTTCATATCACCCAGTATTATTTTTTCTTAAGGTGACGAAGAACCTATGACACCGCTCTTGTGTGAAAGATTCAAATAGGATCGCTCTGCCAATCAGTTGAAAAAGTTTTTTTATTGACCATTTTTAATACATGTCTTATTTACTTTCCACCTCTACTGGCGGGGAAGTATTGTATTCGTAAAAAAATTCGAACATGTTTTTTGGAAGTTATATGAAAAAGGCCATAAAATAAAAAATTAAAATCGCTCAAATATAGTTTAGTTTAGGGGTGAAAAATTAGGGGGTGGGTGAGGGTACCTATTTGCCATATTTCACACATCACAGGTTCCCCGTACACTGTAAGTTGCGTTTCCTATGCACGTTTCCATCTCCTATCTGACCTCAGCGCCCGGAGCAACGGTCTGCTTGATTGTTCTGCTCGTACTGCAGAAGTGGTTCGGTGAGTGCTTCCGCATCTGACGATATGGGAAGGGGCAACGTTGCCAAATGGTCTGTAACTACAGGTAGGGCAGGGAAAGAATGTCTATGAACTAATTGTATGAGGCTGTTTGACTGACTTAAACCGCGTAATTTCTCTATTACACATGTTCGTAACTAATTTTTCAGTCGGAGGGTCCAACTTGTGCTGAATCATTTATGAACTGATGACGGCGTTGCGTAGGAAGTGCAGATGACGCCATTTTTTACAGTTTATTAAACCAAGCTACGCCACAATCTACTGCGAAGTTAGGTAGACACTAGAGATCCAATTGCTAGAATTATTTTACCTTCCTTCTAGAAGTTTCTTTTTGCACTGTCTTTTTAACTATCTTATTAATTTTACTACGTCTCCTGTCCACCTTATTTTAGTCAATCCTTATAGGTCAATATCAGAGCATTATAAAGTACGTCGGCGTTATTGTTTTGAGCAATATATTAAAAGATACAACTTTAATGATAATAAATTCTGAAATCCACAAATGCTCAATTCGCCATGGGTATTTTTGTTCTTGATTTCTGTCGTATAACGCAAGTCGTGATACGAAGTCAGTTATATCTTATAAAAAGCTTCATCTACGTCACTACAGCATTCCAGCCGATCGCTCAGCCACAGTGAGAAAAAACATTGCTTTCTTTTCCTTTTTTTATACGTTATTTATAACGGTTGTCTGTCTCATCGACCTTGACGACGGCCTAGAGGTATCTAGCCCAAAAAGTCCACTTAACAATAATTATCAGCTGTCCTGTATCAAGAAGATCTACTTTCATCAAGTACAGCTTGATGAGATTGTAAAACCAAGCGGATATATTTGACATATACCTACTTTACTACGATCATATTTAATACACTTGATGATTCAAGCATCATCGAGATATTTTTTATGATCAGTTCACGAAAAACCAATGGCACCTATTTCCATTAGGCAGCACAACTTGAAAAGCGACCGTCTAAATTGCATGCAAAATTTAGACAGCAAAGAATGAGACTAGCAGAGTCCAGTAATTTCCATTTCCAATAAGAATGCCGCGAATTGACTTTAGCTTGTATTTGTTTTTTTTTTAGATCTGGATATGCAAACCCATCGAATTGGGACTTGCTTGATTTTCTTGAAACATACTCTGGTCCTCGGGTCTAATTATTATGTTATGAACAATAAACTCTCATTATCACATTAAATTTAAGCTTTTTAACACCAAATAATTCGTTATAATATATACTAAGTGACATATAAATCCGAACACCCAGTTTAAATGGTTTTATTTTAATAAAAGTTGGTGAATGTATTTATCTTACTGTAAATAACAAGTGAAAAAATTTTCAGCCTTATCAGTTGGACATTCCAGTTTTTATACTGCTTTTTTTTAATTCACTAGACCCCTAAAAATGAATATTTCAGCCGCAGTAAAGAATCAACGTTGGCGGATTTTGGTTCTTGACATCCTTTACGATCGGTTACGATGCCTAGAGTACGGAGACCTGTACGATTTCGTCAACTTAGTGAGTTTGATAGGGGCCGTATAGTGGGACTTCGGGAAGCTGGACTTTCTTTTCGGGCAATTGCAGTTAGAGTGCAAAGAAGTGTAGACACTGTGGTTCGGTGTTGTCAGGCATAGCTTCGAGAAGGCCGTACGCAAAGAGCAAGGGGCACTGGACGCCGCCGTAGAACAACAGACCGTGAAGATCGCCGCCTAAGATTATTGGCCTTAAGGGACCGTTTCTCCACTACCAGGTCCATTGCAAATGAATGGTTTGCAGAACACGGAAGACCTATTGGCCTGCGAAGTGTTTACCGACGAATGAGAAGTTTTGACTTGTTTTCATACCGGCCACACTGGGTCCTCCCTTTAACTCGAGAACACCGACGTAATCGCCTTGAGTGGTGCAGACAACGGTCACTCTGGGATCAGGAATGGAACAGTATTGTCTTTAGTGACGAGCCTCGATTTTGTTTAGGCATGCACGATGGTCGTGCCAGGGTTAGAAGGCGACGTGGTGAAAGGAGGAGTTATGGTTTGGGGGTGCTATAGCTTATGGTTCCAGGTCACCTTTAATCTTCA